AAAGTGTGACCCCATTGTCCACTGTGCCAGATAGTTGCATTTCTAATTCTTTACCCCCTTGAATACCTTCTAAAATGATCTGGTTTGCTTATGTCAGAGGTCCCCAACCCCCGGTCCATGGACTGGTACCAGGCCGCAGCATGCCAGCAACCAGTCTGCACAGACAAGCAAAGCCCCATCTGTGGGATGCAGGCAGCATACAAAACCACGCACTCTCCAGTCTGCGGAAAAACCTCTCTCCACGGAACTGGTCCCTGGTGCCCAAAAGGTTGGGGACCTCTGGCTTATGACATTTCAGCTCCTACAAATATGGGAAGGCAATTTTTGATTAAATTGTTCATTGTGGTTGGTGGGTTATATGGCTGTTTCACTTCCTTTTTTTTTTTTTTGGCACCACTGATTCCTACATAAAGGATGAGCTATTCGGATGAGTTATGCTCATCTGAATAATTTTTCTTATGTATTTCTCCTATCAATGATTGAGCTTTTGCTTTGATAGCGAAGTATTTGGTTAGTATGAGTTCTGTGGTTATGCAACCCACTACAACATAACCATTGTAACCTGTGAAAAGGTAACACTCCCATATTAGAGAAATGTTTCCCTTTGATTAATAAAAATGATGAAAACACTGGAATAATTTCAGGATTAGAAAAAAAAACCCAAGATAAATGTTTGTCTTAATTTTGCCTTTGGGAAAATAAAGGCTTGGCTTCACCTTTGAAATATTTGCTATCTGGGAAATGAAGTCAAGTTTTGAAGAGCTTTTGGAACTAGCTTTGCCACTAATAGAAACTTACTGATTTCAGTATACATACCTTTTACCTTTTAAAATCACAGGTAGTCTTTGACTTAATCACCATTTGTTTAATGACAATGGCCTCAGAAACATTAATTAAAGATCTGTACTCAGACTTACAACTGTCTTACCAACTTCACGGTTAAGTGATCGCAATTCAGGCACTTGGCAACTTGCTTGTGATTTACAATCTTTTTTGCCCATTTCCAGCAAAAAAATTGAAGAAGCTAAATTCACTTAATGACCAGATGATTCACTTAATAATTATGGTGATTCATTTAATGACCATCATAAAAATTGCCATAAAATTAATAATTTACAATTATGGTCATTAGTTGAGGACTCCCTATATATGTTATGGCTGACTAATTAGTAGCTAATTTAAATTGTTAGCATTAAAATCACAGAATGTATTTTTTTTTATAAATCAAGAACATGAGTGGTAATATTAAGGACTATATCCTGACATTAATGTGTGTTGAAGAAGGAAGAAAAAATATCCCTATAATAAACCCATCTGGGTTTCCTTTATGACTATTTTGATTTTATTTCGGCTTACAAATTGATCCCAAATGATTACTCTTAATTCCATCATCTGGGACAGCATGACTAAAGTTTGCAATTATGCATTACGCAAATAAGCAATTTATTTTACAAAAAAACACCTTTGTCTGATCTACACAAATGTCTCTTCTCTCCCTCCCTTTGCCTTTCCCACAGTTGTAGGATTGTATATTTTGGGACCCAAGCATATCTCCTATTTCACCAAGGGCTGCCAAGATTATTGATGGAGGCCATTTATCTTATTTGGAAGATGACAGGCTTATAGAATCTGGGAAACAAAGGAGCTACTACTTTCCTTTATATTCAAGAATGGCAGCCTTTTTCCTCACCCTTGTTTCTATTGAGTTTGTTATACCCACAATCTTTGCCAACATTTTCTGTTCATTTATAAATTCTTCTAAATTAATTTTTCAACAATTTAACTAGGGAAAGGGAGTCTCTTGTCTATTAGCACAACATGGCCGGGCTGCCCACTGTTACTATTTTCAGCTTGTCCAAACTGCAACTTTTCCCATAGGTCGTTTGCAATTGTAGGGTAAAGAAGGAAAGAGGATAATATGCAAGAGGGCACTAGCATGGTATGTTTCAGATATAATCAATCGATTTAAAACTATATCTGTTGAGTCCGTGGCGGGAAAATAGACACGAGAAGCAGCTGGAGTTCTCAGTTTCTTTTATTCAGCGTTCAGCTTACAGGAAGATGGCTTCAGCCTCGCCCAAACGCCTCGCAGCCTCTTATATAGGCAACTCCCGGGTAAATGGGTTACTTTTCCCGCGCCAGCACCCGCGCATGCGCACGGCGCTGGCGACAGCCTGTCTGGTCCCGGGCAGCTTTGCACCTGCCCGGGACTGCCTGCAAACGCCCGAGCCGTTTGCAAGGCTCGGGACATAACACCCCTTTCCCCCGGGCTAAAACTACTACCAACATACAACATTTATTTTATACGACAATTTGCTCCCCAGTGCTCCCACTGTTTACTGGCTTTTGCCTTGCCAGCAATGTTATGTAATCTTCTAGGTACTTAGGAGATTTCTTTGCTCTCTGTGACCTTCTTAGCTCTGGGTTACTGGCATAAGTTCCCTGACTGGAGGGAGGCGTGAGCCTGTTCTCTCTATTGTGCCCTGGTGTCTTCCAAGGACTGTGCCCCGATGCCTGGCCTGCTTGCTTGCCCACCGGGCTCGTCAGGCCAGGGCTTCTGTTGCTTTGTGACCTGGTTGTCCTACCTAGCTGTAGACCCTCAGGCCCCTTGAAGTGATAGCCACTGCTGGGCGTCTCTGTAGAACCTCCTAGGTCAGTCCAAGACCTGTCAGGAGGCTGTCCATTCCCTGAACCCCATTCTGTGCTCGGGCTCGTGTGGGTTTCTGTACTTTCCCAAAACTCAGGTGTTCCCTGATTTGTGCTAGGGGTGTTGTAGTCGGGACTTGGCTCCTCGACTAGCTCTGTGTATGTTTGACCCCCGGTAGGATTTGGGGTAAGGTCAGGCCAACCTTGGGAATTGTGTGCCAGCTCTCTTGCAGGGAATGATTTATTGGGATGCCCCCGGGTATCCTCCCTGGCTGGAGTAGGCGTGAGTGCCTGTTGTGTGGGTAAGCTCCATGACTTTCTTTTCGGAGCAATTGCGGAACCCTGGGATGGGCCGTTTGTGGCTCCCTCAGTGGAGATGGGCAGTAGCTCTTGCCCTTCCCTTTGCTCCAAAGGGTCCCCCTCCCCCCCTGGAAAAGACCCAGGAGTCTCAGCAGAAAAGTCTCGCCTAGAGCGAAGTTGGTCGATGTGCCGACGCAGGACACGACCGTTGTCCAGGGCAACCTCGTAGGAGAGAGGACCTGTGATCCTGGACACAGAAGCGGGGACCCATGTATGACCAGGCCCGTAATTGCGAGCCCAAACCGGGGCACCCACAAGTAGTTGTCTAGGTGCCCTAGGATGTGAGGTAGATGAAGGCAGTCTGTCCGGATGCAACCGGTCAAGTCTAGTAGTAAGTTGGCGCCCCCAACGAAGTTCAGCTGGACTTCTCCCTGTAGAAGTGGACGGTGTGGTGCGATAAGAAAGGAGAAAGTCAGCCAACCTGTGATGCCAGTCCCCGTAGGTGAGTCTCTTCAAGGCGTCCTTTGCGATGCGCACCATGCGTTCAGCCATACCGTTGGTGGACGGGTGAAAAGGCGCAGACGTGGCATGACGAATCAGGTTTGCCTGTAAGAAAGCTTGGAATTCGGAGGAGGTGAATTGAGGGCCGTTGTCGGACACAATGACATCTGGCAGCCCGTGTGCAGCAAAAATCCCCCTCAGTACCTGAATAGTCTTTGCAGTGGTGGTGGATGAGACAGGCACAACCTCAAGCCATTTTGAATGGCTGTCAACAAGGACCAAGAAGAACTGGCCCTGAAAGGGCCCAGCGTAGTCAATGTGCACCCTAGACCATGGGGACTGTGTTTCCTCCCTTCGCGGGGTGTAGACGGTCGACTTCCTCGTCCGGATCCTCCTCGGAGTTTCGTTGGACGTCTTCCTGGTGCACGGACGCACCCTCTGCACTGCTTCTGATCGGCCGCATGTTCTTGACGGCGCCGCCTGCTGCTTCTTCTGCGGTGACTTCCCTTAAGGCGTCTTGGAAGGATAATTCTTCCTTAGCGAAAAGTCTCTGTTGTAGCTCTCGATGCCTTAACCCGCACACGAATCGGTCCCTCAGTCGTTCCTCGAGGTCCTTGAACTCGCAGGGCTTGGCGGCCTTCCGTAACGCGGCGATGTATTCCTTGGCTGACTCATCGGACCGTTGATCCCTCTGTTCGAAGGTGTGGCGCCATGAGATAACGGACACCTTGGGGTGGAAGTGCTCCTTCAGCAGCTTCTTCAGGTCTGCGTAGCTTACAGACTCTACTGGGACAGGTGCTGCAAGGTTTTCTGCGATTTCGAAGGCGTCTTGGCCGCAAACGCAAAGCAGGGTGGCAGCCTTCAAGCTATCTTCCGTCACTTGGTTTGCCTTGAAGTAGTTCTCCATTCTGGATACGTAGGACTCCCACCGCTCTGGATGTGAGACGTCGAATTCCGAAAGCCTTCCGATTTTTGCCATCTTCGGATCTTCAGGAGACGGGTCTATCAGCCAGCCTACCCCCGAATGCGCACCGGATTGGCGGGCAGCTGCCGAGTCGACGCCGTTCGTCTTCCGCCGCTCAGGACTCCTTGGGTAAGCTTACACTTTTTCCTTTCCAGGTAGTGCAAGGCATCCCACCTCGTCGCCAGTGTTGAGTCCGTGGCGGGAAAATAGACACGAGAAGCAGCTGGAGTTCTCAGTTTCTTTTATTCAGCGTTCAGCTTACAGGAAGATGGCTTCAGCCTCGCCCAAACGCCTCGCAGCCTTTTATATAGGCAACTCCCGGGTAAATGGGTTACTTTTCCCGCACCAGCATCCGCGCATGCGCACGGCGCTGGCGACAGCCTGTCTGGTCCCGGGCAGCTTTGCACCTGCCCGGGACTGCCTGCAAACGCCCGAGCCGTTTGCAAGGCTCGGGACATAACAATATCCATTACACAAACCCTGAAGTTCTGCACTCCTATTTCCTGTGTGGCTTTCCAAGTATTTCATTCCAGACTCTCCCCCCCCCACCCCACTCAATCATGTAAAAAGAGCAACATACAAGTAGAAGTTGTTAGAATTGTATATTTAAAATGTCCTCCAAAACATAGGTTGGGTTTATGTACAGGCAGCAGAGTTGCAAACACACCAACAATTCCTCACTAGATTCTCATGAACCACTTTTTAAAAATATTAACATATTGGTCTCATGTTCAAACAGGTATTTGTGTATGTTTAAAATACAACATGGTTATGATGTAGCTTACACTGTAGGGAAAACATTGCACTGTAAAATTTATAAACATACATACTTTCTGAACTTCTAATGCATACATTTCATGAAGATGGCTAAGCGCTGTATTTGTAAAGTAACTGATCTTTTGGAAATAAACACTCATAAATAGGCTCTCAAATGCATTTTTCATTATACACTGACAGTTATTAGGAATCTGAGGATATCTTTGGACAATTAGCTGTTTGGATGGACATCTCTCTGTGAGGTATGCATTAATTATACAATCAAGAACAATTTCACTTGTGATAGTTCTAAGTAGTTTTACCTATACCAAGCAACTCATACTGCAACCTATGGTGTTATCGTAATTTGTAAGTTGGATCTGAGACCACAGTCACAAAGCAGGAACTTCACTCAGTTTCCACAGGAGCAATGGGTGTAAATGTATGTCACATACTACCTGCCATTTTATTTCTTTGAATATCAGCATAGCAGGTGATTTATTATAATTATTTAGGGAGTTACCAGCACTTTCATAGATGATAGGAATTGTGTAAAAATGCTGCATGTTTGCAGCCCAATGAAGTAAGATTAAGAGAAGGCAAAAAATATACATAATCTTATCGTTATCATGTTAAAATTTAAAAAAATCATATGCTTGTTTGTTTTCCTTTGTCTCTGTACCATAAATACATTTAATAATGGGATGCAGAGAAATTGTACAACATAGCATGGAAATTAACCTATTTTACTGAAATGTAAAATACCTCTATTTTATAGGACATCATTAAATTATTACATTTCTGATGTCTCAATACACTTAAATGTCTAAAGACAGGGAGCAAAAGAAATTGTAAATGTGAAAGAGATAATACATTAGTACATGTACAGTCTAACTATATGAATGTTAATTGGACATAGATTAATGCTTGTTGTTATGATGGCAAACATGCAACTTGCAGATTCAAAGGAAGTGTGCCGTAGTATTCTAAACAGCAAAAAACAGCAATGCTTTCACAATTTTCCACAAGGTATCTGATCTTATCAAGCCAGGTGTTTATTTCAGGAAGTAATTAATAACCTGATGTCTTTTTAACAGAATTCCTCAAACTCAGGTAAGCTTTTTTCCTATATAATGGAAGCTCTAACAAAGGCACAATAATGGTCTGTGAGTCCTTTTCCATGACTGAAAATTATTTGTCTATAGTGTGAAAAGAATTCCAAAAATAGATAGCTGCATATGTCTTTCTCATTAATTTGCTTGTCACTTATCTTGAGATTACAGAAGCCCATTGAACTGATTTATATTGGATTTCATTAATAGGGAATAGCAAAGATAATTCTGGTGCAAATATTTTATTATCTCAAGTCCAAGCAGGATGTTGAAATGCAGTTATGTCATTTAAATAAAAATACAGTTAGTGAATGTAAACGTAGGGAAATTGGAAAAAGATGCAAAGCAGAATAGCAGTTATTAAACAAACTGTACATTGCTTTGTACAATCTGAATACTAAAACATTCCTATATCCAAGAGAATGTCATTGATAATTTTAATTATTCACTTTGAAATTATGCAAATTTACTTGGGAGGTCACCTTCATTAAGTTTGCCAAAATGTACTGCTGAGTGTAAAACTGCAGATTAGACACTTTTGCTTGGGAATAAATCCGATATGGTCATCCCTGAAATTGCTTGGAAAATTTTTCACAAAACCCAGTTGCTTAATTTACAGGTTATTGCTTGTTCACTGTATTCTATATGCTGCATGCTAATCATTCCACATTTTCTTCACTGTGTAATATTATTAGTTTGAGTTTTCATAAATACATGATACATTCTATTTACAATAGAATGCCAATATACTACTAAAACTCTGTCTTGTCTATTTGTAACCTTCAATTGACCAAAATGTTGCATCATAGAGCAACCAGTTTTGAAGCAGCTGTTTTTGAAGCAACGTACTTCAGATTGCTAATTTGAACAAGTTGTAGAAAATCCATTACTCCCATGGAATTGAAATATTAAGGCTCTTCAGTTGTACTCATAAACTTGTGGCTCTTGCAGTGCCTCTGTGGTCATCTGAGGTCATGTGATTGTGGTTTCTGATACTTTCTGCTGGCTTCCCAAAAGCAAAGTCAATCAGGAAGCCAGCAAGAAGCCAGAAGTTGCTTTTGCTCCCACTGCTTTTTTGCCTGTCATTCTGTTTCTTTGTTTAGATAAGGAAATATCTCTGAAAAGAGGACTCAATGGGCCATGGGTCATCTAGTAGCCAATAAATGGTAAAGCAGGTGGATTCATTAACCAGCCATCCACAGCATAAATGGAATGATGATAGTAGGAAGAGTAGTAGAAAGTCCCAGACCCAAATAAAGTATAGAAATCAATCCCAGCAGTGCTGAAACAAGTATGCTTCTCTGGTCTCGAATGATCATCTTCATGGTTTCACAGAACTGTAAAGATAGTAGAAGACTTTAGAATAAAAAATTAAACATGCTCCTTCCCTTGAATGGGAGGAAAATGTTGATATTTGTTTCATGATTTGTTTAGTATGAGTTCCATGCAAGTATTTGAATGTGCATAAACCTGTAGAATTTACACATTGAAATAATGTGTGCACTGTAAGCTTTTCCTATCAGTTCTAGCCAACATAATTAATGATAAGAGATTATGTGAACTGTAGTTTAATTTTTTTTCCCCTTGGAAATGGGATGGTAGAAACCTTGCTTTTAGTTTTCATGTGAGTTTTTGCTCATTTTTGCCAACTCTAATGATGTCTTCACTGGCTACTATCTTCCTTTTCAGCAGCTATATTTTCAGGTGTCTAGAATTCTGATAGTTGCAAATTTACATTGGAGGTCATGGCATCATGTTAGTGTTTAACTTGGGTCTTGCTTCCGCTATTTGAATATTGGAAGGGCATTTTGGCTCTCAAGGCTGAGTGGCAGTTTATGTTTCCTTGTCTGCTTGTTTTCCCAAAACAAGGTATGGATTTAGTTTTTAATATGAAAAGATGAAAGAGAACTTATCTTGTATTCTCTTCCTCCTTAGGGACAATAGATAATAATTTCTTGTTTCCTCACCCAAAGTTTTGGTCTTTTGAATGCAGGGCAGAAGAGATGTTGCTTTCCTAGACCTAGAGGGCTGCCATCTCAACTGTCAATACTTATCTTAGTTCTGGGATTCTGACTTCCCAAATCAGCCTAGCTTTCCAGTCAGTTGGATTATATTCCTGGCATATTCATTTGTATCATCTGTTTACCTATGGGCTTTTGCTAGTTTACCAGTCAGAAAACACTGGGTGGTGCTTTCCCATGCCTCTTTCCTTTTTAATTCCAAAATGTAACCAATGTAAAAGCAACTATTTCTTCTAAAAGTTAGAGCATAAGACTGAACAGTAGGTATTTCCTTGGGACAGGAAAAATCTTAAGTCCTGCCTTTTAGTTATAAAAGTTACTGTTATCCATTTCCAGTCATATCGTCTCTGGTGATTGAGAAACTGAGTTTTCTCCATCTTGAACAATTTATTGTAAACTTCCTGAAACTTGTATTTAGATTTTTTTTTTATATGAAGAGTCTAAGTATTAATTCCCATTAAATTCATAGAAACGTGGCAAATATGTCTTTAATAGCATTTTGCTCAGATTTAATATTTAAGTGATCCCTCACAGATGTGAATATGTGTTCTATTCTAATTACCTTCACCGAAACACTACCTCCATTAAAATAAATTATTTGCTTATGACTTAAATATAGGACTTATTGCCTTTCAAAAATTTCCTGCCACATCCCTGCACAAGCATTCCTTTCCTTCATTTTGGGTTAGTGTGGGGAGAGTTTGGTTTTGCTCTTAATATTTTAATAAAGCATTCTCTTCAACAGAATTTTACTTGCACATTGAGTTTAGAGACATCATATAGGAATAAGTGTGGCAGAGTCAGAAAATAAATGAACAAACCCTTAAATTTATTTTTGTAGAAAAGTTCTGCACAGACGTAAGGAATTAATATTAAGGAAGCTAATTAAAATATGAGTTTTAACAAAGCTAGGTTAGATTCAAATGTAGATTCACAGCTAGAATTTGCTGTTTTAGAAGCACCTTTCCATTTAACAAGGATCAGATCTGTTGCCTTCTAAAACAAAAAATCCTACATACCATTAAGGTTCTGAAACTATCACTTCTGACACGGTTTGCCCCTTGCAATAAATTTTGACACGAGATGGGCAGCAAATAAATTTCTTAATAAACAAACAAATAAATAAATCTTTAATTCTAAGAGAAGGGAGGAGACCAGAATGTTTAAAGCAATAAATTGCCAATATTCAGGAAGAGGTATAATATGTTGCTAAACTATAAATAGAGATAATTATCTCTTATAAAAGTAATAGCAGTTTTGCATTATTGCTCTTCCAGTTGTGAAGTCATAAGCGAATTACACTTCAGCAGATGATACTCCTATTAAGACACTATGAACAGAGTAACTCTTTTCCTGGGTCTGCATTCATATAAGGACATTGAAGGATTAAAGTTGCACCAGTATCACTGTGCTTCCTTGGCAGCATCAACTCAGTTCTGTCCACTTGTTGCTATCCATATATTAGTCTCTTACATAAGCAAAGAAAACTGGGACTTGAATTTAATAGGTAATGTAAAACATGTTATAAACTTTTATGATCTATTTTTAAGCCACTCTAGGTACATATCAGTTACTAAAAGAGAACTTTTTTAAAAAGTTCCTCTTTCCCCCACATCCACCCACTCCAAAATCCTAGAGAAACCTCTATTTTAAACAAAAATATCTAGGAAAAATGCTTTTTAAATATATATTGTAATGTTTATAAACATAAGCTACTTGTTCTTCCCCCTTCTAGCACATCATAACTCAAAACAAAGATATAGCCCCACTTGTCAGAGGATATTTGGACAATGATAGTTTACCTTGGTTGTCTGGAAGCTGACTGGAGAGCCATATCTGCAAAAGGTCACAAAATGTTCACAGTTGTTCCAGAGTAAACTGTATTCCGTTGTGCCCACCAGCCTTTTTGCTCTGTGGACCACTTTATCATTACAAAGGATACAATTTTTGAAAAATGTATCCATACTGTTCACCAGGATGGAGCCTCCATAAGCAAAATCCTCCACTGTGTCCACACGGATCCTTGCCATTTTTGTGATGACCCCCAAGATAAGTCTCTTATTAGTCACTACTTTCTGGATCAACTTCCCATCATTAGTGAAAGCAGGCAGAATGTCTGGCATAAGATGTGCTACTTGGTTATCTCCCAAATAAATGCCAAAATGAATGAAGAGAGTGCGGGGCACTTCTAGCAAATCTCCTGGTCTGAAATAGGAAGAGTCATAACAACATACATGTTTTTTCTTCTTCTCCTCCTCTTCCATGGAACCTGTTTGCAGAATTTTAAAGTTGGAAAGCAGAAGTAACTTTTCCAGTAACAGGGATGCTATTTCATACATTGGGTTTTTCATGTTTTTTTTTTCTTGCTGTATGAGCTGCTCCTGATTTATTCTGCTTTGGTCTCTTTTTAGTATAGCAAGTTGGGCCGTCCCACTCACCGAATCTGTTTTGATTGGTAGACAGGCAAGTGGGCAGTTCCTGTGGAGCAAAATAAAGTGGCTCTTTATTTGAAAAGTTTTAGAATATAGAACATTGAATAATAGAGCTGGAAGGGACTTTGGAGGTGTTGTAGTCCAACCCCCTGCTCAAGCAGGAGACCCTATATCATTTCAGACAAATGGTTGTCCATTTTCTTTTTGAAAGCCTCCAGTTATGGAGCATCCACAACTTCAGAAGGCAAGCTGTTCCATCGGTTGATTGCTGTCATCTGAGTTTTTATAGGATTTTTCATTATTTGTTGGTTATTTAACAACAAAATCACCTACCTAAATCATTTCTTTTTTCCAGTGAAAGTGCTGATTAAATGAATTATTTGATCATTGACAAAAATGTATGTCAGGTATGCCAAAATAATAATAATAAGTGAACTTCTGATACATATCTTGTGTTATGATTTATGAGCTCATCGTTTGAAATCATTGGAGGAAAATATTTATAAACCTTGACAAAAACCCAGTTCATATTTACTGGAGAGTAAGTATTGTTGAACTCATTGGGACTTACTTGCAAATAAATATATTAAAACAGTGATCAAAAATTATGATATAATACATAAAATTAATTTCAGAGGAATTTATTTGAAAATGTATGTGGCTGATATTTATTCTTCACTAAGAAAATTTAGGTCTGCAGTCTTAATTTTGAAGGTATTATTTATTAAGTAAAATCATTATACGTAGGTGACGTGAAAACTAGACATGGATCCCTTTTCATGATATTCAAGACAACCAGTTTTTACTACAAAACCAAAAGCAGACTTGCTAACTTATAAATATATAATTAAAGGTATGGATAACTTCCAATATGTACAATCTTAAAGTAGTCCTTAACAATAAGATACCCATGGATTTGCTAGACTATTTATAGGTATAGGATCTGAATCTTTCTATGCTATTGTGTAACTCCACATTTTTGGCAGTTGCTGATAAAATGTTCAAGGCATATATTAATGCACATGGGTTGAGACTTGTTGCTTAGTCTAAGAAGAAACTTATCCTAAGCTTTCAGAATGATATATAGGAAAATCTGATATTTACCATCATCTATTCATGTGTGCTGAAACTGCTAGCTAGGAAATTCAACGACACATGGTAAATTCTGTGTTTCTAAATGCAATGTTGATCTAGTTATGCAAAAGTCTCAGTCTTGTCAAAAAAGCTGCACGTCAATGAAAGCTTCTGCCCTCCGCCCCCAGCCTGACAAGACGATCTCTTTAGCTGCCCTGGGGGCTGGAAATGCTGATGGATGGGGGCCATTCATCTTACCTGGAAAACATCAAGGATTGAGATTCTGGAAGAGGGGGAGACGCCACAGTGCACAGTCCCCTCATTGTCACAATCAGCCTGTGGCTTTTTTCTTAGACTGCTCCTGGCAGCCAGGCTTGCTTTGTTTAGTTCGCCAAGTCTCCCAATTTAGTATTTTGGGGGTGGGGGTGGGGGTGAGAAGCAGAGAGAGAGAAGGAGAGAGAGAAAGAAAGAGAGAGAAGTATAAAAATCTTTCCCGAGAATCTGAAGGAAGAAGGGGGCAGGACAAAGGAAAGGGGCGGTGTTCTTTTTTTTTTTAAAACATTCAAGTAGTTTAAGAAAGAGAGAGAGAGAGAAAGAGGCAGGCTCTTTTTAAATTGTATGACATTTATTGTATTTACATAATGTAAGACCTCTTTGAAACAATTTAAAGGAAAGCAGAATTAATCTGGCACCACTCTATCTTGTTTACAGATGAGCAAGCAAGATTTGGCTTCTCTGGGAGGAGTTGAACTTATCAAGAATGATCTGTTAAAAGGCTGTATGTTCATTTTTAAGGGTTTCCCCTCACTTTTGGATGGATAGCCAAGCAGCCCAGTAGCATTCTTAATACATGTTTGGCAAGACAAGTCTTGGAATCTCCTAATATGCTGCCCTAGTTATCAGTTCTCAAATTGTGGTTGGAGCTTGTTGGATTCTTGTTATTCACCCTCTTTCCAATATCTTCAGGAACTAAATGAGAGACGCTGGAGGCCATTTTTTGGCTTACATCAAACTGCACTATTGTTAGAACTTGACTGCAGCATGCACACACTGGTTATCTTTCTAGTGATAATTAATATTCAACTCCATCAGTAAAGTAATGCTGCTTCTAACGTTTTGGCTCTCAGAGGGAAATGGTGGGGAAAGATTATTAACACAATACAGCCAAGTAATGCCTGCAAACGATTCATTATCATTATCGAAGTTGTTAAGTCCTTCGATCGTGGGCAAATGATGAAGACTTATTGTGTAGTTAACAGCTCTTTATTCATTTAACAGCAACACCCCAACAACGCAAACAGCACGCAGGCCTCTCTTTATCTGCCCAGAGACCCGGACACAATGGCAACAAGTAGTGGAGTGTTTTTGCGCCCTGTGCATGCGCGCAAGGCTGGCGCCACTCAGTCTGGTCCCGGGCAGCTTTTTGAATGCCCGGGATCAATGCAACGTCCCGAGCCTGCTTTTGCAGGCTCAGGACGCAACACCTCTCCCCCCTAGTGGAACATCTCTGTGCACATACATGTACGACCTACATTGGGGGAGTGATATATAGTTCCATAAATCAAATGCATGGAATGTGGAATATTTGAGGCTACCCTCAGGCAAAACCCCCTCCACTTCGTTTTGGGAATAAATGTATCCAAAATCAGAAAATAATACAAAATAACCATGCCCCTTTATTCAGGGCCCTTTGAACTTGACAGCAACTTCACAAATTCCCTAAGATATTTGGGTGGGCACTTGGCCTGCTGCGACCTCCTTGGACCAGGAGAGATTGCTTGGCCCACTTGCTCGCCTACCAGGCTAGGTGGGCCGAGGCATTGCTGCCCTAAATTCCCAGGTGACCCTGGTGCTGTTGCCTGGCCTACCTGCTTGCCTACCAGGCTCAGCAGGCCAGGACTTTGCTGCCCCGAATACCTGGTTGACCCACCCATCTCCTGGCTGGCTGGACCCTCTAAATCCAGGCCAGCATACTTTGGATGGTTGGTAGTCCCCGGATCCACAATGGACCCTTCTTGGGAACACTGTCCCTCAACCCAAGGCCAGCAGATGGAGAGTGCTGGGTAGTTGAAGTGCCCCAGTACTCTGTGGCCCCCAAGTATGTGCCGGAAGTGCCAGAGTCAGGAGTCGCCTCCCTGGCTACCCCCTTCCCTGTTGACCTCCTTCTGAGAGCAATTGCAGAATTGGGCCAGTGCCTCTGCAGTAATTCTTGTTCTCTTGTTTGTGAATTATGTGGATACCTCCGGTCAGTCTCCCTGTCTGGAGCACTCTGTGATATGTGTGAATAATGTGGATACCCCCGGTGTGACTCCCTGTCTGGAGTACTCATGACTGTGTGGGATGACCCTATCCTGTGACTTCCTGTTGGGAGCACTTGCGGAACCTTGGGATGACTCCCCCATAGCCTCAGCAGCGGCTAATGATGGCCTGTGAAACTGAACCTCAGAATGCATATTATGGTCCTCCTCCCCCCACAGAGCAGAACCAGGAGCGGAAGGGTGAGAGTCCAGTTTCCAATGCAGTTGGTCAATGTGTCTGCGAAGAACGCGTCCGTCTCCCAAGGCTACTTTATATGAAAGCGGTCCAGAGAACTTGCAGACCACAGTTGTGACCCAGAGATGACCAGGCCCATAGTTCCATGCCCAGACCAGATCACCCACTTGGAGTCTCCTAGGTGCCCGCGGTTGTGACACCTGTGAAGCCACCCGGCCGGGGTGCAACCTGTCCAGTTTAGTGATGAGGCAGCGACCCCAGCAGAGGTCAGCAGGGCTCTTCCCTGTGGCAGTGCATGGTATGGTGTGGTGTGCAAGAAGGAAATCTGCTAACCTGTGATGCCAGTTACCATAAGTCAGTTTCTTGAGGGCATCTTTGGTAGTGCGCACCATTCTCTCTGCCAATCCGTTGGAGGATGGATGGAAGGGAGCCGAAGTTGCATGGCGGATCAGGTTGGCCTGAAGAAAAGCCTGGAACTCAGAAGAGGTAAATTGAGGACCATTATCTGAAACTAGAACATCTGGAAGGCCATGTGATGCAAAAATTCCTCGCAACACCTGGATGGTCCTGGCAGTAGTAGTGGAGGACACAGAAACAACCTCTAGCCACTTGGAATGGCTATCAACAACAACCAGGAAGAATTGCCCCTGAAAGGGCCCAGCATAATCTATATGCACCCTAGACCATGGGGTTTGAGTTTCCTCCCACCTATGTAGTGAGGCCTGAGGCATTTCAGGCTGAGACTGTTGGCACACTTGGCACCCGTGCACCTGGACCTCAATGGCTTTATCAAGTCCAGGCCACCAAAGATGGCTGCACACAAGTGCTTTCATCCTGACCATGCCAGGATGTCCCTCATGCAGAGAGACCAAGATTCTAGATCTCAATGAGGCTGGGATCATTGCCCTGCTATCCCATAACAGGCATCCCTTGAAAGTGGAAAACTCATGCTTCTTGTGCCAGAAGCGTTGGAACTCAGTATCTGGGCACTTGTCATGACAACACTCATGTCAGCACGTGTGTAAGCGTGTGATCAGTGGCAGTTTCTGCAGCCACATCCCTAGCATTGAGGGGAGACTCAGGCAATTCCTGAATGGACAGGATATTAACAGCTGGAGCAGGATCAGGCACCAATTGGTTCAAAGGCAATCTGCTAAGGCCATCGGCATGACCCATTTCTTTTCCTGGTTTGTGAACCAATGTATAGTCATATGCTGATAGGAAAATGGACATCTCAGCATACGAGGAGAAATTATATGTGGAGTCTGTTTGTTAGTGGTAAACAACCCCAGCAGAGGATTATGGTCAGTATAGACCATGAAATGGTGGCCGTATAAGAAATCATGAAATTTCTTAATGCCAGCCACTATAGCCAATGCTTCTCTGTCAATTTGAGCGTAATTATGCTCTGCAGAAGACAGAGTCCTTGAATAATAGGCCACAGGGACCTGTGTCCCATCAGCCTTCAGATGGCTAAGTACAGCTCCCACCCCATAAGGAGATGCATCGCAGGCGATAAAAACAGGCAGTTGCTCATTGAAATGTGCTAAAACAGCATTAGATGTGAGCAAGGCCTTAACCTCATTGAAACTCTTGACATGGACTTTAGTCCACTGCCAAGGAGTCTGCTTGTCCAAGAGCCTGTGTAAAGGCTCTGCCACAGCAGCCTTATGTGGGAGAAAGGCATGATAAAAATTTAATAGCCCCCAAAAGGCTTGTAGCTCACTCTTAGATTTAGGGATTGGGGCCTGCTGAATAGCTTGCAATTTAGTTTCAGCAGGGTGAATGCCTTGAGCATCTATCCTGAATCCTAAGAAGTGACTCCTATCTTACATTTATCCTTCTTTAGTTTAAGGCCTGCTTTTCGAAAATGAAGCAAGACAGCCCTTAATCTCTCTGCTAAATTTTGGGATGACTCTCCAGCAATGAGGACATCATCAAAATAGGGACAGACTCCAGGAATACCCCGAAGTGTGCTCTCCATGACACTTTGGAATATGCCAGGTGCTACATTTACCCCAAATTGCAGTCTCTTGACCTTGAAGGCCCCCCTATGAGTTACAATAGTCTGGACCTCTGCAGCTGCCTCATCAACAGGTAACTGTTGATAGGCCTGTGCCAGGTCAAGCTTTGCAAAAATGCGCCCCCCTTTGAGGGAGGCCAGGATGTGACTTACTACAGGTACTGGATAAGCGTGCTACTGCAGCGCCTTGTTCAGTGTACACTTGTAGTCTGCACATATACGTATGTCCCCATTAGCCTTTAGAGACGTTATTATGGGGGTTTCCCATGGACTTGAGTCTACTGGTTCTAAAATGCCCTGCTGGAGCAATTTGTCCAGTTCAGCATCAATCTTGCCTTTGAGGGTGAAAGGTACCCTCCTAGGTTTAACCCTGATGGGCATGATGGTTGGGTCTAACCGTAGCGAAACTGGAGGCCCCTTATAGGATCCAAGCTCTGAACTAAACACATCTGCAAACTCCTTACAGACTTCTGCCAGGCTCAACGTTTGCAAATGGTGCAGCCCAGTTAACTGGATTCCCAGACCTTCGAACCAATCAAGTCCAATAAGACTCATGCATTCACCCTCAACAACCACCACATCTAGGGGAACTTCAAAATCCTTGTGCTGTACCTTAAGGGTGGCCTCCCCCTTAACAAACACCATAGAATTCTGAAAATCTGTGAGTATTATATTGGATGACCTGAGTTTGGCTCGAAGGCCACTGCTATTGCAAATCTTTTTGAATGTGTTAATGGAAATAATGGAGAGAGTAGGACTTCTGGTGTGATCAAGCAGCTACGATGGCTGCTTTTCACAAAGCAGCCCATTCCTGGGTTGTGTAAAGGCCACAGGACGTTTACAATCAGCTGTCCTGCAGCTTGAATCTCTTCCCTGTGAGAAAGGGAAGAGAAGAGCTGCTCAGGTAGAGGTAAGAGCTCCCCTGGATCCCCATAATTTCAGGGATCGGAGGGTAGAGCTCCCTCGGAGCCTGAGCCAACTCCGCACTCCAGGACGTCTTTGTCCCGAAGTTCTGGGATGAAGCAAGGCGCCGCTCCCACATCTGCTTTTTTGGGGGGGAGGCTTGTGAGTATTCAAATGCAGATGGAGCAAACCAGGAGAAAGTGGATTTAAGATTGATTGTGACTTTAACTCCTGCAAGCATCTTCTCCCCCCTTTCTTCTCTTTGTTTACTTTCCCTTTTGAAGAAAGGGAAAGTGAAAGGCAAAATGGCAACTGTCTTTCTTGTTTGACTTTGCAACAAAGTTAAAAGTTTATGTTTTAAATATAGAGGCAAGAATTTTGTTCCTCTTTCTCTTTTTTTCCTTTTTTCTTTCTTTTTATTATTATTTAAAGAACTGTGATATTATAGAGGCAAGAATTTTGCTCCTTTGAATTTAACAGAATGGCTTCAAAACGTTTGGTCTCTGTCCCTAAAGCTTCTATTTCCTCCCCAATGACTCAGCCTCTTTCTTAGTCTAAACCAAAATCACCCCCACCCTCTCCTCCTCCTGCAATCTCTCTCAAAGACTTACAAGAGACTTTAAAAATGACTGCTTTGGATATTAAAGAGGAGGTAAAAGATCTTATAATTGCAGAGAGGGCTATTACAGAAGAATTATTGGAGAAAAAGAACAAGCAGGTCAGAGAAGACATATTATTTGCGTTTTCTGGTCTTGCCCTGCATATTGAAAGGATTGACGATAAAATGGAAGAGATTACTGAAAATGCAGCAAAATTGGAATTTAGAATGGTGGAAGTGGAGAATGAGATAGAAATTACACAGGATGAACAAACTATTTCACAATACAGAGAAATGGAGTTCGCATTGCGTATCCGGGGTTTGAAAGAAAATTCCCAGGAAGATTTGAAGATGCTTATTGTTAAAGATATCGCTTTTAATCTTGGATGGAGACCAGAAGAAGTTGGGAATGAGATAGAAAAAATCTTCAGAGTCAACTCACGGGTGGCCAGACAGAGAAATTTACCAAGAGATGTGGTTATTTACTTTTCCAGAAGATCTATTCGTAATGAAATTATACAGGCTTTTTATAAAAAGAGGTTTCAAATTGCAGCTCAAGATGTGATAATTTTAAAAGAAATACCTCCAAAAATTTTAAGAGGTAGAAAAGATTTTACTTTTTTGTCTGATGAGTTAAAACGTCGTCAAATCCAGTTCAGATGGGAGATTCCAAGAGGAATAGTAGTGAATTATTATGGAATACGTCACAGATTAACTACAGTTTTAAAGGCAAGAGATTTCTATCACTCTATTCTAAAGGCAAGACAGTCTTCACATCCACAATCAAGGATAATTGAAGAGCCCGTTATGGCAAGAGCTTCCTCATTGATGATCATGGAACAAGCGGTGTTGCCTGTACAGAATCTTGAGATAAAAGATCAAAGGTAAAGGCTTTTTGGATTATGATTTGGTGGAACATTCAAAAGATTTTTAAAAGGAAGATAAAGTTCACCCCTCAATTATTTTTATTGGGTATCTTTGTGGATTTAAATGACAAAGAAACTACTTTAATGTTGAATTTATTAACTGCAGCAAGGTTATTAGTAGGCTCGTATTGGAAGAAGGACTCGTTGCCTACTTTAGAAGAATGGATATTTAAAGTTTCTAACTTTGCAGAAATGGCAAAAATTTCTGCTTATTTGAAGGATCATACACAAGAAAGATATATTATTGTATGGAGAAGATGGATAGATTATATTCAGAAAAAATATGGGACTATAAAGTTTCATTTATTTTATGAGTAAATTTTATAGTAACTGTTGTAAAGATTTGTTTATATGACTTAATTTAAGGGGAGTTAAAGGTTAAGTATGATTTTTTTTCTCTTTTATTTTCTTTTTTCTTTTTTATTATTGTTAACTTTCTTAATAATAACCCTGTATTCTGCTCTGGGAAGTGAGGGGGGAAGGGTTGAGGGTGGGTGGGTGGGTGAGTGGGTGGGTAATGATAATATAGACATGGTAGATGCTTGGGCATTTCCCCTATGCTGCGTTCATGTGTGTGAAAGGGATGAGAGGGGAGGAAGGAGTAGGGAGGAAATAGGATGGTTAGAGGAGAAGGGGAGGGGAAGAGAGTAGGAGGGGAGGAGAGAAAGAGAAGTGGGGAAGGATTAGAGAGGGTGGACGCAGCCTGGGGGGAATGGGCAGGCGGTACCAATGGTTAG